ACACAGAAACAAAATAAAATGTTCACCACAGTATTTAGGGCTAGAAGGTAAAGAATGTGTATCATATATTTACTGATGCAATGGGCAATAAAGAAGATAAATAATGAAAATGGATTCTAGGTGCTGTGAGATTTGAGTAAATTTCATTTTAGGTTGAGTGGACTATAAAAGATAAGACTGAAAAATTGTGCTGAACACTGGAATTTGACACAACATTGTAAAATGATTATAAATCAATAAAAAAAGATAATGTAATTATAATGGAAATGAAGAGATAAAATGAAGATTAGTACCTAACCCAGGTTCTAAACTGAGATGCTCATATTCTATATCCCTATAAAAATATCTAGAATGAGGCATTAATTAGCATAAGTATTATCTCACCTACATACTCAGTTCTGAATTCCATGTGATACGTTGTTTTATAACTTTATCCTGGGGATCCTGGAACGTATACTGATCATCTATGATTACAACATTATGAAATTAATGTCAATTTTAGCAAAAATACAGCTAAAGAACACTATTCAAACACATGAGTTGCGACTGGGCTTGAAGGAGATTGTTGTTGTTATTTACCACCAAAGAATGGATCATGGGAGGAACATGGAAAGATATTGAGGGAGAAGTGCCACTATTATAAGTTACTTGTGCAGTTCTGATACAGTGCACTTCCTCATAATTTCTGTTATGAACAAGGTTGCTGTGTAACTAAGGAACTTTATGTACAGTGGAGGAAAAGCTGGAAATATATATATATAAAATGGCAAGAGATACAAAACATGACAATATAAGGATGGCATGAAAGAAAAATCTCCTTCAATTATTTTGAATAAGTTTTCGTTAACATGGTCCCAAGTATATAGGCTTTTAAGGAATTTTTTCCCATATATGAGTAGTTTATTGTGCTCTATGGCTCATGTTTAAAACCCCATAGAAGAATTACAATGAGGCAATTCAAGTTATGAAATAAAGTTATGCCTTATTCTTTCTAATTTTTAAATGTATAATTTGCATGTACATTGCAAATTGAAACTTGCATGTTTCAAGTGCACAGCATAATTATTTTCTATTTGTGTATATTGAGAAATGATCACCACAGGAAGTCAGGGTAATATTCATCACCATACATAGCTACAAACTTTTATTTCCTTGTGATGAGAACTTTTAAAATTTACTCTCTTAGCAACTTTCAAATATGCAGTAGAGTATTGTTAACTATAGTCACCATGCTGTATATTACATCCCGTGACTTATTTCTTTTATAACCAGATTATGCAGTCTTTAGCAAATGATTATTCGTCTTCTGAGATGGAGATCAATGTTTGGTATTGGGTCCTGATGGAGACATGTTTAAACATGCACCATGTAATTTGAGCTGCTCTTCTTGAAGTGGGTGTGTTCTTACTTAACTAAACCATAAAGCAGGCATGACCAGCAGTATATATATTCTGGCTCAAGCAGGTTGAAAAATCATAGTTAAATTGTATTAATAGGTGGATTCTTAATGTGAATATTCTTGCTGCACTGGCAGCTGAAACCTCATCATGGCAGTTATTTATGCACAGTGGATGAATGAGGAAAACAATTCAAGACTGGTTTACAGATTTTTAAAAATAATATGCTAATATGAGCTGAAGGAGCACTGTTTTATGACAGCCCTGATGGACAGTGAGTAAGTAAAACTCTTCTCTGAATAGAACTGGGACTTGTACATAGAATCTATGTTTACTGTATAGGAGACACAGGGGAGAATTACAATCGACATTGACATTAGAATTGACATTAAACAGTGGTTAAAAGTTTTGCTACATTAATAGGTAACTGAAAGAAGATAGGAAGATCAGTGACATGTATAAAGAAATATGTGAATGGACCTCTCATAATGGGCCCGGACTTTGAAAATATTTGTGTGACTGTAGAATGCTCTCTCCACATTGCATTTGAGTCAGTAGACAAGATGAGCTGCCTCTTTCGCCAGATACCCCAGTGTTTGTTCAGTGAGCTCATGAACATGTAGGCATGGGGCCAGGCATATTGGTCCTGGAAGTGTTCAACAGTATATACGTCCCCTGATTAAAGCTCATGCAGCTGTTGCCCCCACTGAAAGCCAATGATGCAGCATCAGAGATCTATATCAGGTTATCAATGTGGCAAAATCCCTGTGGTGTATCAGAGTCATCTGGTAGTGAGTTGGTTCCAGCAGGCTTTCATTATCAACAAGACTGCCGTGCCTCAGATAGCAACACCACCTGTAGATTGCTCAGTGCTACAATCATCAGCTTTGTATCCAACTTAACATTGGCTGTGATAAAAGAATTTATCGTACAGCCAACATAAGTAAAGCAATGGGCTGACATTTCTGTGTTCCATCATGATTGCATGGGCCACATTATCAGAAGCAGCTGATCTTACTTGGTGCTGGAATGGCCTATTGAAACTGCAGTTATGGCACCATCTGTAGAGTCACGCCCTGCAAGGTTGTGAAGCCCACCTACAGGATGCAGAACATGCTTTGAATCAGTGACCAGTACACAGCACTCTTTCTCCCACTGACAGAGCACATAGTCTAGGACATACTTCACCTGATGAGTGACTGGCAAAATGTTTTCCTTCATCCCAGAACTATTAGATCTGATGATTTAAGGTCTCAGAAACAAAACGAGCCATCTTTCTACCAAGAAGCATAGCAATGGTTTTGTTGTACTGGAACCTAGTTTACCATATGGCTTTTAGGACTCCTTATATCACTGTTATCAGTATAAAAGAGAATAATTTTTATTTTTATTTGGATAAGGTGACCAAGTTTAGTTCCAAAGGAAGATAAGAATGATGCCACAAAGTAGGTGAAAGGAAAAATATATCCTGAATCCTCAATCCTTTGTGTCATCTCCTAGTACTGCCAAGTCCAGTGGTAAAAATTAATGGAAGACAACACTGTAATATTGCTACAGGCAAGACCTACTGATGGACACCAAAAATCAGTGAGTAAAAATATAATAAGAAACAAGATATTTATGTATTTTTAAAAAAAATACCTCCCCCAAAACACTATTAATTACAAAGAGAAAATTACTTCACAGTGGAGAAGCCTGGCAGAGGGCACCCCAACCGCATGATTACATTCTTGCATACAAGATTCTATGTTGCAGTATTAGGCTCAAATTCCTTCCTCCTAAGGAAAAGCTCAGTCTTTATTCTTAAGACCTTTAACTGATTGGATGAGGCCCACTCACATTACAGAGGATAATCTATTTTACTCAATGTCTATCGATTTACATGTTAATCACATAGAAAAAAAATACCTTCACAAGAACATCCAGACTGTTGACCAAACAACTGAGCACCATGACCTAAGCCAAGGTAACACATAAAATTAAGCATCACTCCAGCCCACTAGGTACCTAGTACACAATACTGGGTACACTATTTTATACTAAATTATATTGTGATTCTGACTCAGTACATTCTACCTCATAAGCTAAAATCATTTACAAACTAACTTGAAGATACCTTCTGCCTCCAACTGGAGTCAGATCTGTATATTACACCCAGTCTAGGCAGAATAGAACTTCTTAGATTCTTGTGTATTGTCCAACAATGAAGATCACATAAAAGACTATTGGAATACGAAATGCCAATGATAGTACTTAAAACTTCTCAAAGTAAAGAATCAAAATGAACATTTTCCTATCAGTTTTATGTTCTGATGGTCTTAGATTATTGTTTACTGGCAGAAAGTTATTTCTATACTGAAATTATCTGGGAATTCTATATACTCTTTATTTGACACTCTAGTTTTCTCCCAAAAGACCAAGCTTCTCCATTCTGGTAAATACGGGTAGAAACTGACCATTAATATCTGAGTAAATTTATTATAGAACTGACAATATTAGAATAGAGAAAAGTTTAATTCTTTATTGTATGTAATATATAAGTATGTGGGTTTATCTGTGTTTCTTAAGGACTCAAGTAATCACTATCATGAATTTAAGAAAGTATTGTAGACTCTGAAGACATTGACAAATCTCTAGGGCCTTTCAATTTGACCTGAAAAATGGTGAGCTAAGCTATAAACCTCCAAAGTAGAAAAGGGTTTTTAAGTCTAGGAATGAAATATTTAAATAAGTCAATTTGTTATTGGTCACTGTGTTGAAATTTGCGTACAAATATATGTATGGCTCTACTTATCTAAAAACATGTAAACAACTAGTAAAATCCATTTATATTAATAAACTTTGACCTTATAAAATTAAGCTAGAGCAGGGTAATCCTGTCTTTCTGATTTAGCTGACTTCCTGTATTATTGTGTGTTTGAAAAATAGAAGAGCTCTTAAAATATGATTGAGCTAATTAAAATATAGAGAATTCCAAACATACCTAAATGTTTCTAGCATCCTTCCTTTTATAAGGTAAAGGAGTGAAGCTTTGGTATTGCCTAGCATCTGTCTGGGAAGTGATAAAGATGATTTTCATGTAAAAGACACATTGGTAGTTTTATTATTCTTAACCTAAGGACTTGTGCAGGAGACCATGAAAAGGAATGCTAGAAGAAATTCGTTAACAGATTAAAATTTAAGTATAGGTGCATAAAAACAAGAGATGGTCATACCCTCCATTCTCTTGTTTCTCAGAGTGACATCATACTATTTTAAAATAAATATTGCAGAAGGTAATGTAACAATCATTAACAATTTGGGGTCTGTTTTAGGTGAGGGATCATTAGTTGATTTAAACAAAACAAGCAAAACAAGGAAAGCACAAATGTTAACTCATTCATGTGAATTTATAAGATATATAATAGCAAATGAGTTAAATGAAGAAAAGAGAGAAAAAAAAAGAATGGTTCTTCAGTACCTAATATTGGAGAGTAGGTTGTATACTTCACTATCATACTTCTTTTCAGCTGTGAACGTATTGGTTAACTATTCCCACACAAAGTTGGCTAACAAATAACCACAGAATCCAGGAAGAGCACGTGCAGCCCTTATCTCAGCTGGAGCTCAGCTGACGGAGGTTGATCCTGGCGGGGCAATTTTGCGTCGGAAGCAGGTCTGACTGGTATTGGCTCCTCGCGGCTACCGTAGGCTGGGCTCCCGTCCGCTTCAAGTGTGTTCAATTGGGGAATTAAGGATAAAGGAGAGGCAGCTCCTGGGAGAAGGCTTTTTTTGTGGCAGTGGGAGAAGAGAGAGGAGACCCAGCTCCAAGCTTGCGTCCTTTCTGGCAAGGTAAATCCCATGGGCGAACCCGCAGTTGAGCGGTGACTGGGGTGGGGCTGGGGGAGCGCATTTTGCCGCCAGGAGGTCTGAAGGGGAAGGAGTGAATTTTCACAGTGATCTCATCTGCTTTATTCCCGCGTCTTTTCCGTATGCACTTTCCTCTCCTGCAAAGCTCGCTGGCTCTATTCCACAAATGCCAAGTTTCATCCAGTTACATCAGCTTGAAATCCAGGATTTTATGATACACAAGAAATGATGACCTATGATAAAAAGAAACAAGTTGTATCTGTCTCCCAAACACCTACCCTGTAAAGTTGAGACGGGGAAAAGATAATAGTAATGAAGAGAAGGGAAACATAGCAGTCACTGTTTTATTGCAAGTCCAAAATCTCGCTGAGGAAGTGTTACCAGGTCTCTGAATCCTGGCTTAAGGAAACATATCTCATTTAGATTTCTTAGACGTGGTTTCCTAGTTCATTTTTCACCACAGTCCGTTACTCTGTTTACGGAAGTTTCTTTAATTATCCGGCTTAGTTATATCTGAAAAGGTTTTCGAGTAATACTTCCCTTTTGGCAGTTAAGCTGCTTTCTCAACCAGCTGCTTGTTATATAGAAGTTGGGGAGCTGGAAGTCTATCTTTATCTCACTGTCTTGTATTTCACGCTGGCAGTGATTTTGTCAATCAAGTTCTTTCAGAAACTTAAATTTTCAAGGCATTTTATTTCAGTTAGTATAAAAGTTATATGATTATTCTTTTATAGACATGCCTCTCCGTGTATAGTTAGTCACTGGTATTTTGGCCCATTAGGCTTTGCTAGGCCCGTATTCTTAATCTTTCTGTAAGTAGTTTTTACCAGACAAGAAGTTCTAATAGGTGTAACTATAATTCATTAAGAGGTCTTAACAAAGGCAGGATGACTTGTCTTGGTTTGGTCTATACCCAATCAATGTATCTTAATGCTCTTAATATTTCCCTAGGCTATTACTAATTTGAGAATCTTCTCCTGTATGGAAGTATTGGTATTATGAGTTGAACTATGTCCCCCAAAAACATATGTTGAAGTCCTAGCCCCGAGAACGTTAGCCATGTGATCTAATTGGAAACAGGCCTTACAGAGGTAATTAGGTTAAAATGACCTTAATCCAGTTGGACTGGAGTCCTTATGAAAAGGTGGCATTTGACACAAAGACAGCCATACCCAGAGAGAGGACTTTGAGAAAAAACAGACAATGAAATGTGGATATTGGAATTATGCTGCTACAGATCAAGGAATGTTTAGGGCTACTGGAAGCTGAAAGAGGCAAGGAAGTATCCTTGCCCTGCAGGTTTCAAAGGGAGTCAGTCTCTGCTGACATTTTGATTTCTGACTTCCAGCCTCTAGAACTGTGAGATAATAGATTTCTGGTCTTTGAACTCATCTAGTTTGTGGTACTTTGTTATAGCTGACCTAGAAAATAAATACAAGTGGAGATTAAAAAAGGATTTCACTTCCCAACACCTTTGGTTGAGTTCTCTATATTTTCTCTAAATTCTGTTCTTTTTTGTTTTTTTTTTTACATTTTCCAAGTATTTTTTTCTAGGCTCATATTTCTTGTAGTACCCGATTAAAATGCAGTGTTACACTGAATGAAAAGGAAATTCACACAATAATGTGAACAATGGTACTCAAAATCTCTAGTCCCAACGTTAGGGGGACCCTCAAAATTAAACAAAATTTTTATAACCCCTTAAAGTTTTTCTTTTTCATTATTTTAAGTATGAATCTACCATTGCAAACTATGACCAAAATACTTTAGCTGTATGCTCTCTAATTTTTGCTCTCTAAAACTGCTCTCCAATCTGTTTTACTAATTAAGAATGTAGGCTTTGGAACAAAACTACCACTTAGTGTGTGATTATCTGCTAGTTAATTTAGTTTTTCGTTTCCGTTTCCTCATTTATAAAATGAAGATAATAACTGTATCTTCTTAATAAGATTATTGTGAACTTAAATGAACACAGAAAATATCAGGTATTCAGTAATTTTGAATTGTTGATTAGTAATAGTCAAAACATACGTTCTTAACTCCAACTTCAAAAAATGAGTAGAAAACGTTAATCGTAAAATTACTTGAAAATTTGTTATTTGTTATTTCATTTCCACTTGTTATTTTGATTTTCTTTTTCCTCTTTTCCCACAGTCTTGCTGGTCTGGCTTCTTCCCCACTTCCACCTTCCAAATATACATTACACTGTGGTTACTTTCTAAGGTTAATTTCTAAATCCAATTGCCTCCTTTCTCCTTAACTTTAATTATTTTCTCTGGTACATTTTACACTGTTTTACATTTTACTCTTTAAACTCTGAAGGGGCAAGAGGATGCCACCAGTTAGAGGCTGAGGGCTGAGGACAGACTCAAAAAGTCAGCAAAAAGAACATGATCTACACAATAGGGTAATGCTGAGTCCTTGTGGCAGATTCACTAGAAAACGAACAAGCAAGAAACATATGTCTGTGGTACACCCATCATTTTGACATATTTCACTAAGAGGGCAGTTTGATAGAATTATAACAGTGTTTCTCTCACAACCACCAGTATACTCTCAGCTCCAGTATTAGTATGGAGTACCAAAGTAGCAGCCCAGATGTCCCCTCCAGTGATGGACCCATTTCCTTTAGGTGTTTAGGACTATCTATATTGTATAAATATAAATTTAAAAGAGGAACTGTCATGATTAATATCTCAATTCTCTTGTATTTTAGAGTTCTCAATGTTGTTTATTGTCTGCTTCTCTATTACAAATTCTATTTTACTTGTACCTTAGCTTTAGGCTTTATCTGTTTGTCAGAATAGAATTTCTCTTCCTTTGCTACTCCATTACATTCTTGTTTTCATTGCCCCTTTATTTCCGTGTAGCTGATCAATACCACGTTAGACTGCACACTCTAGCAACTTGTTTTCTTGTGGATTACCCAAACAACAACATCTTGCTCCTCATCACCATCATCAGAAAGCATTTTACTCATTGCTATTGTGGAGTTTTGTATTGTAGAAGACAAGACACAGTGATAAAGATTGCAATATTTGTGTTCACATAAATAACTCATTTCACTGCTTGAACTCATATCACTCCAGAATTGAGAGGGAGAGAGGGAGAGAGAGAAAGAGAGAAAGAAACAGAGAGAAAGAGAGAAGTCTTTTTCATATTTGGACATGAAAAAAATTTATTCAGTTCTTGGGTATTTCATGGACACAATATATAGTCCTTATTTCTATATGTATTTAAGTTCAGAAAAAGCTAGTAAAAAAGTAAAATGCTTCTGTTTTAGAGCCAAAACAAGTGATGCCAGTTCAATCTAATGAGTGAAAGTTTACTACTGGTTTTATATTTAGTAAGCAGAATACTATTTTAGTGATAACTATGACATTTGAATGATCTACCTTTTCATCTTCTCTTATAGATACTATTTTTCATCTTGTAAGTTTTAATCTTGAATGTATGAGGCTTTATTTTAAAACATTTAAAAAATATTGGTAACAAAAACTACGTATTTTCTATTCACTCTGTAAACAAATTCTGTCTCAAGATAAAGTAGGGAATGTATTTAAAGAACACTTCCAAGTTTGTAAAATTACATAACTTATGATCTCATGCTTTCTGGAGTAAATTTTTTTTTAAGTTTAATGTACTCCTGAGAAATGAACTCTTGTTATACAGAGACACTTCTTAAGTTGTACTATAAATAATTTTGTTTTGTTTTTGATGAAAATCAGTGCTTATTGAGGCAAAGGTGATTCAAAGGTGAAACTTACGTTTCTTGATTCTCAAGGTCTGGTCTTTCCTTATTCAAGACAAACAGTAGATCTACCAAAATTATGAAAACTATGTGAAACAAGCAACTCTGAAATTTTACTGCCATGGAGTTTATAGTTATGTATTTTTTTTAATCTCTAAAGCAATGTACCTTTACCTTTTTCTTTACTTTATTAATCGTCTGCCTGCAGCACTGAGGACCCCCTTTCTCCTCACCAATCTCTATGCACAGCTCTCTTGGCATCCTTCCAACCTCTCCTGGGAGACTCCCCTTCTCTACCTCGGGTTTGTTCCGGCTTCTTTGTCTTGGTTAGTTCTCCTCCTTGCTTTTCATTTCTGCTTCCCTGAAATATGTCCTATAGTATCTTTCAAAAAACATGTGAACAAAAATAACCTTTCTGTGGCCTTATGTGTCTGAAAATGTTTTCCTCTGTCCTAACAGTTCACAGTTTGAGTACAACGTTTATCCAGCTAACATCAATTTCTCTGATCCCTTTGAAGACAACCACTGTTGTTGTATTCAGTATTACTAACAAGAAATCTGGCGAAAAATAGCTGCTGATCCTTGTAAATGAACTTTTTTTTTTCAGTTTTTTCTCTCACTTTTGTCAGAATTTAGGATCCATCTGTCTTTGGAACTTTGATATTTCCCAAAGGCAGGTCTGGTTATAGTCTCTTTATCCTGCTTACCATTTAATAAGCAATTTAAGTGAAATCCTGTGTCTCTCTTAAGGTGGGGATTTTTTTTCTTAAAATTTCTTCATTGATTTTTTTCTTCTCCATTCTCTCATATTACACTGGAAACAAATTTACATGCATGTTACTACATCTAGAATTTTCCATCACTAATTGTATTTATTTTATTGTTTCCGTGTATTTTTACCTTTGTACTACATTTAAGAGTATTCTTGGATTTAATCATTATGCCAGAAATTCTCCTGTTCCTTTAGCCAATTGTGCTAGTCAGTCATCTTTGGAGGATATTATTCTTATAATCAATATTTCTTCTCTTAAATGGACTAGCTATGGTACATTAAGTGTTTTAACAAATGAAAACCATATGTCATTGATTGAACACAGAAATTGTTTGTTTCTCATATTATTGTCCACTGCAAATCAGTTGAGGGTTCCCCGTTTCACAGAGATAGACACTTCCCACCAAAAATTTTTCAGCCATTCTTTAGAGTCCTAGAGCCTGCCTCAGGCCCCTTGCC